GTCCCCCCCCCCCATTTTCTGTAGCTTCAGTTTATGTTTTCTATACTTTGCAAAACACTTGCAAAAATGAGCAGACAACCACTGGATCTTTACTTAGAACGGTACTGCTAGGACACATCCCTTTTTTGAAGCCTTTCAAACATGTTCAGACAGAGTTCGAAACTTGATCTAGGCACTTTGTGGTACTTCACAAAACACAGCCATCAGCATCTACCATAGCGTGATCTTATCACAAGGAAGGGAGTGCATTTTGCAATCAGAAATCATAACACATACACAGAAGAACTGCCAAGAGACATTGCTCTTTTCAGTGGAATTTGACAAACATGGTAGAGATGGCAAACCTCTTCTCCTTTACCCTTTCACAGAACATTTCACACAGGAAAGCCATTTTAGCACACAAAAAACTGCAACAAAAGAGCCCCTATGAAGGCTAGAAGTGTTCAATATGAACAGTCTCAAATTGTGTTAAAGTCAATGCCGGTAAGGGCTTGACAGGCTAAACACTCAAAACACCTGCATTAACATAAAAAAAAGTACACATTACACCACAAATACATATATGAACCGATATTGAAGTCAAAGACATACTGCTGGGACACCACAGATAACCACTGCATCGACTGCAGCTAGTCACTCAGTGGAAAGTTCTATTTAGGCCTATGGAGCAAGCCTAATTTCTTCTCTTTCTCCATATAAGGAGACAGTTTTTGCAAGGGAAAAAAAAGCTTCCATTGTCACTCTGCAGAGGCTGTCCCAGAGTCCTTGTTGGCATAATTTCATTAGTATGGAGATCTAAGAATAGTCAAGAGACTAAGAGTAGACCATGGACTAGAACCTCAGTGTGTGACATTCAGCTCAAACAGAAACATCACTGACGCACAGCGTGCAAAAACACCGCACAAAAGAAAACACTGCATTTGATGGTAGACTTGAACAGACTTGAATGGATAAACACACCTAGATGCCTGTGATTAAATTATCTGATATTCTTATGAATGATAATTTGAAAAAGAAAAGAAAAAATCCACTATGGATGATTTCTTGGGGCCTCCCAAATACTTTTAAGTTCCTGCAAGTTACAACGTTTTGAAACACCTGGAATGACATGCCTCCACGTTCGTTTCTGACAACTGGACAGTTGACGCCGCAGGCTGTCATCTCCACATGAATAATCTGTGTATACAATCTTCAGGGCTTAGTTTCATCTGAACACCCTGAGGGCCTCTGCCATCTGCTCTTACCTTCAGCGTACAACAGAGATTGACACCTCTAATGAAAGAAGCCATCATTAAAAAGCAACACTCTGAAAGAGGTCACATTTAAGTTTATTTGTACCATTTGCTTGAGCATTCGCAATCTCTCATGCACATCATTTGCTGAAACAGACATTTTCCTTGTGCTGCTGAATTCCCAATGGAGCCAATTTAACTGAGAATGTACATATGTTTGATCAGACAATCCACTGGCAGATGGTGATCCCTAACCGCCAAAACAAAGTGCCACTATCACTAATGACAGCAACGAACAGTCCGGAAGAAATGGGAGCTTTAAAGACTAAAGATACACACATTTAAGCTTTATTGGTTGAGAATTGCTAAAAATGAATCATTATACAACAGTTAGTTCCTCAAATTTGATTCAGTAGTGATATTTACTGTACAATTGTGACGTTTCACTCTAGTCTGGAGTATGCAGAATGAAAGTGGGGCAAGTTTTTCAAAGTGGAAGTCAAAGCATCTACATATTCTCTCACACATTAGCTTTTTGCGTGTTTTTTTTTTTTTTCTCAGTGTGTGGGTAGTGAGAAAATCCATCGCTGAAGTGCACACATACGCTGTTCCAATTCAGGAACACGCAAAACTTAATAGCCCTTTTAGAACCATTTTCGTTGTACAAAATAACTGGCAAATTTTCATCTGCAATGCTAGATGCTCAATATTATTCAGGCTATTAAAACTTGCATTCATGTTGTAATAATGAATATCATCACAACTGTGCTTACCTGCAGTTTCAGGTCTACAACAGAATCACTGTCAAGCGTGATATTGCTTGTATTATCAAAATGATAACCATCTAAAACTGGCCAATACACATTTGTTCCCATTAATATTGTGTGCATAATGGTTTCAGCCAGCTGATGCTGGGCAGGAGTTAAACAAACATGTAACCATGACAACATTAGGCTGAGAAGATTCACATGTAAAAAGCATTTACATAAATTTCCACATAAAACCTGTGCCTAGTAGTCCTAGTCGCTGCTTTCCATGATACAATGACAAAAATAAAGGATGTTTGTCTATGAAAGCAGCCCACAGTTTAGGGTACATATGGGTTGAGTAATGAATGTCGACATCTCAATTAATAATTTCACACACAGAAACAAAAAGAATGGGAAACCTGAAGTCACTTTGGATAAACGTGTCTGCCAAATGATGAATACATGTAAATGTGGTCAGACAGGAGAAAAGATGCATTAGACACAGACACGCTGGGCTACGCAATTTCATGCAATCAAGCATCATATATCGGCAAAGATGCACTGAGAGGAAGTAACGTTACGAAAAATGAATTGTTACCAAAAAAAACCTGTAAGTTTACCGCTGCATCAGTACCGGTCCAGCTTTCCGTGAACTAAACTGGGTCGACGAAAACCAGGTGTCAAGACCAGAAGGCTTTGTTTTCGGTCTAAATTCATGTGGAAACACGCATCTTCAAGAAGACACATGACAGCTTTGGACCCTGAGACCTAGCCTCCCACAGCACAGGACTGATTAGTATTCATCTTCTGTATCCAATCTTAAAGCTCACATAAATACATCTCTACAATAAGCAAATCATCTGCTTTGATGGATCACTGCAACACTAGTTAAGTCTGAGCCCAGTATCCCACAATTAGCTCTTGATAGCACTCTAGCTAGCGGACTGCACCTCACCACAATAGACGACGAGGGGGTCGCTGGGTTCACTGGCTGCAGCTGAATCAAAGCGGAGAAACTCACCATCTGGGTCTCCTTATCGGTCTGCTGAAGAGAAAAGGGGTTGCTGCTGCCCTGTCCGGTCCGGTCCACTCACTGTGCGCGACTCGGTTGAAATCTCATTCGTTTCCTCCGCTGGTCTAAACGATTAACTTCTCCGGTTGAACTCAATGAAACGTACCAGCAGACGCTGTGATCATTCGAGCCGTCTAGAGAGCTTGATGTGCTTTTCCCCCCACCTCACTCTTTTCAACGGACGTTTTTTTCCTCTTCATCACGCCTTTTTTTACTCAGCAGGATGTCGCACGCGATTGGACACAGCTCGTGCCGCGTCCTCGCGCTCTCCTCCTACCTCAGAATTTAGGTATATTTTCTGAGGAGGCTTTTTGCAAGAAATAGCCAATTTAGCCATATTACCTCACGGATTTCTAATTCCTCGCCTCTGTTTCTTTCCCGCTGTCTTTATTCAGTAATTAGTGACTAATATGTGAGGCAAGTAAGAGGCAAATGAGCTAATTCGTTTTAGCCATTATAATGTATAAAATGATTTAGCTTTGACTGACGTCTCTACAACGTAATCAATATTGATGGATTAGTAATCGTCATATTTTACCAAAGACTAACGAACGCAACTTTAACACGCATCTGATCGATTGTGATGTGCTCACTGACATGCTGCGCACGAAACGGCGGTAAAGTTAGTTTGACGTTTGACATTCATTAGACATTCGGGTTTTTTGCCAATTAAACTCTTTGCAGCTTTTATGTTTTGAGCCCAAACTAACTCAGATAGACATAAATATATGCCCTTTATGTTGCACAAGGCTTAATTTCTAGGAATTAATTTTTTTTTAAAAACAATTTAAATTAATTAAACAATTTAACTACGTGACATTATAATATAAAACCAATACTAAAATGTTCGGGAAAACATACCTGTTATCGCACAAAGCTCAGTTTTTGGAATTACAATTTTATGTTTTTTAT